CGCAATGTCTTTTTCGATGAGTTACTGCCTCATCTTCAACCTGCTGTACCCTACTGGTCACGGCTTCCCACTAGAACCCCAGGTTAACTGCCTGAATAGGGCAGTGGCTCAATGATCTACGAGCTCGCCTTGTAACCAGAAGGTCCTGCGTTCGAATCCCGGTGGGTGCGTACTGCTGAAGAGTTCCAAACTAGAGTGAAACAGCTGTCCAGTACTCCCAGGTTTTCCAGTGGTTCTCTAACTGATGTCAGTTCACGATGAAATCCTCCATGCAATTACATTTTTGTTTGACAAACTTAATGTACACATACATACAAAATAGCCCGTGTATACTTGCGATTGTACAGCTAAGTGAATGAATTCGCTGAAAAGATACTCTTTGCTGATCTACGTGTTTTGTTTTCATTCATGCTTGGATGGGGATTATTCATGAACTGATTAGTTAGGTGATGAAATCGTTTTTAAAATAATGGATTGGTAACAAGAGAATAATGAACTGAAAATGGATTACAAAAAATTAAAAAAAATAATAATAATAAAAAGGACTACACAGTGTTTATTATACAACAATTCAAGAAAACAAAAAGTGACTCCTCTATGGCCATGGTGACCAAAGAGAGGCTGTGAATAAAACGACTCTGGATACAAAGTTAGGATTTATTCTTTTTTATGAATTACTAAAGCTTTGCCTGCATGGAGAAGAAGTAGGCGAGCGAAATCCTTTTGAATGGCCTGATCATAGAATATATATATATGACTCTGAATTCATCATTTAACTTATTAGCTGTCAACCCTTCCCAATTGTATGAGATTATTCACTATTTTCACACATTCTCATTTAATTATACACTTTGATTTAATTTGTTGCTATCTGACAATAACCTCTGACCTCCGTTAACAATTGTTTTGTTCTTGTTTTGTTTGTTCCCGTAGTTTCTTGTTGGTGATTCTTTCCGGCCATCTTATCTTGAGTATAGAGCGAAGACAGTTGTTGATCAAGGTCTGCAACCTGTTAGAAATATTCTCTGTGACCTGCCAAGTTTCTGATCCGGATAGAAGAACTGATTTGACGTTTGCATTGAAAGTCCGAATTTTGCTGTTGATGCTGAGTGACGAAGAACAACAAAATTCGGATTTTCAATACAAACGTCAAGTCAGTTCTTCTATACGGATGGATCAGAAACATAGCGGCGGGTCACAAAGAATATTTCCAACAGCCTGTTGCACACCTTTATCAACAACTGTCTTCGCTCTATACTGAAGATCAGATGGCCGGAAACAATCACCAACAAGAAACTATGGAACAAACAAAACAAGAACCAATCGCCCAACAAATGTGCAGGAGAAAGTGGATATGGATTGGACACTCACTCGCTGAGGAGGCCGTTGGGTGACATCGCGCGTCAGGCCATAGCTCAAGTGGAAACCGAAAGGGAAGCGGCGAGTGGGACATCAGTGCAAGGGTGACATGGAGGAGATCGTGTGAAGTAGAGTTGAAACAGTATGGATTAACATGGATGCAAGTGAAAAGTACAGCAGAAGACAGACACAAGTGGAGACTTGCAGTTGAAGCCGTATGTTCCACTAGGAACCCAAGGGAACAATAATAATCCGTTAGCAATTCATATTGCAAATGTAGTAATAACCCACCTACCCACACAAAAAAACTGTGTGCAGACATTGTTTAAAAGAGTTCAAATGTACACTGTAGCACTACTCCTGTATTGAAGAGAATAGAGGAAACAATACCTACTAACTGTCTTCAAAAAGAATGGATATCCCCCTCACAACTTCATCAAAAAGTGTTTAAAATCGACTCACAACAACAACAACAAGAAACCATCATCAAAGACTACAAGAAAATTCATTCTACCATATATATAAAAAATATCTCTGAAATAACACCTAGAATATTAAAACCGTTTGAAATAGATATAGCACACATGCCAGTCAGCCAGCCAGCACAATCACTTCATTCGTCGATATTGTGCAAACCGAAAGACCGATCCAACAGAATAAGAAGATAAAATTAATACCATTTGCAAAATAAATTGTATGAACAGTAATAGACATTACATCGGTCAAAGTGGGCGTCCCCTTCGAACCCGAATCCTTTAATCTAGAAATGAGTTGTTTGGTGTACTCGATTTGGGATTTCGCCACACGTCGGAGATTTTTTGGCGATGGTGGCAACTTGCAAAGCCTGACAGACTTGAAAAACTGGCATGGAAAACAGCAGGTAGATAGACATTCTTCAAAGAACCTCAGACGAGGCAACTCTTTAGATATCCTGCACCGTATGGTCACCAGGCGATTCAATGACTTGAAGGATCGAGAAGAGAGACGTTTCTTCAAAAACTTCATGCAATTCTTCCCATTAATAAACTTGAACAAAGCAAGAACAACAATTGTACCAGGATAATATGAGCTCATCTTTTATTATTTCGAGGATTCTTCTCAACTGGTTACAACCTGAACGATAAAAATATGAATTACATTAAAGATTTGAACATACTTTTCCACGATCACAAGCAGTAATTGGTAGGAAGTAAAAGTAACATTAGTCCGGAATGATTTAACTGATTAAGAGTTACAAACACTGACTATAGAATAATAAGACAATTAGGCTTGGAAACAAAAACAGAGTTGCATATATATGTGTGTGTATAGAAACAAGGTTTAGCTATAAAGAGCATAACAAAAAAGTAGATTACGTAACTAAAGAAAATGTTTTATCTAATAGCCAATAGAAAAAAAAGAAGAGAAAGAACAAGATAGGGTGAGTCATGTTTAGATGAGAGAGTAGAGTTTTCTAAACAAGAAAAAGGTGACTCATAAAAGTTGTATATTTTGTTATCACCAGGGCAGTGCAAGATTCACCACTGTCTCTTTCTGCGTACATAGATTTGGTTTAAGTCGTTTGATAGCAACTGCTTCAGCAAAACGTAGCAAGCTAGGTTTCTTTCGCCTGTTGATTATTTTGAACAACTTCAGATTGTCCACAACATGACCAGTGTCCAATAGATGACGCGCAATCTCACTGTTTAGTGTTTGTGAACCTTTTAGTCTCTGTTTGGTATGTGTTCAGAAATGCAGACAATAACCCTTCTCTCTGTTGTTCCAATGTATGTGCTTTGGCACGTACATGTAAATTGGTAGACACAGTTGGAGGTAACATGAGGTGGGTATTTGTCCACTTTTGATTGTCTCAAACAACTAGTTGTTTGATAAACACATACAAGCTTGGCGGCTGGATATGTTCTCTTCAGGGCAGCGTTCAGTCTGCATCTTATTCTACTAGCAGTATCATCACCTTTGAATGCAAGCTGCAGAAAGATGGGCTTTTTCTCTACTGTGCTGCTTTTCACTTTTTCAACATGACGTTTTGTATTGATTTTTCGTGCAATTCTAACATTACAAAGTCATATTGGATCAACTGTAGGAGGTTAGTCGCTTTTGAAACGAAGCCGGTTGGACTCTGACAGCTTGAGTCTTCCACTACTACTTTGATAGTCACCAGTACCTCTTATACGGATAATCGAATGTTGTCTTCTATTTCTGTAAGACTTATCTGTTACTGTAGGTATACGGTCACTCATTTCTGATCATGAATTGATTCCATTTAGAGAACTGTTGAAAACCAACAGGAAGTACTGCACATCTGTTTTGTCCTAGTTTAGGACTCTTCACCAGTGCGCTCCCATAACCTCACCGGGGTCAAGCACAAGACCTTCAGGTTACAAAATGAACTCGTACAACATTCAACTACTAGGAGCGTATCCAATGGCTCATCGATTCTAGCTGCTAGTTCGCGATATTTATAGTGTGACAGCCACGCAACGCCATAGGTGAACATGTGTCCTCACTCTGAAGTCGGCGGATCCTGCAGGTGAATTCATCATCCTGTAGTGAGTTACCAGTGAGTACAAGATTAATTTTCTAGCGACTGATTTCAGTTTTGATCCCGAAATGACATGAATTAGAGAACTATTAGAAATCGGAGACTACTGGACAGCTGTTTCGTTTTTGTGGGGGGCTCTTCAACAGTACGCACTCATAACCCCACTAGCTATTGAACTTAGGACTCTTGGGTTACAAGGCGAACTCACTAATTGACAGAGGTTAGAATTGATGGACCATTAAATTCCGTCCCAGTGGTTGAATGGTAGAGTTTACCTTGTAACCTGAAAGTCGTGGGCGCGTAACGTTTTAGAGAGTGTCAAACATGGATGAAACAACAGCGCAGCACTCCCTGGTTTCTCAGTAGTTCTCTAATCAAAATCGATTCATGATCAAACCCGAAATCAATGAAATCTTTGCAAACCTCCACTTGTAAAAACATTATCATTCACAAGGAAACCTTACATATTTATCATTTAACAGAACAGCTGCTTAAAAAACACTTTAATTCTTGTCTTTACATGTATTTATGAAGAGAAAAATTGGAAAATTAAAGTCATACAATAATATCTTCGAAGGAAAAACACGCTGTAGTAGTCCCTTTGACAGGATACTTTGAACCAGAACAAATTTTCCTATACTACTTTTTTCTTGTGATCTAGACAAAGTGGTCAGATATGGCTGGCTTGTATCAAACAATCTTATGCATACACTGTGTTGAGTTTGTGTGTTTGTGTGTGTGTGTATGCGTGTGTAGCTTCACATATGCATGCGTGTATGCAAGCATGCAACTAATGTCTGCCTATAGGCTAATAAAAATCTGGTCATTGAATTATGATTGGTTGTCTCTTGTTGTTGGTGTGTTGGTCTGTTGGCTAGCGTGGAAATCATGCGTGTTCCCTCCATCCTGTTAACCTTAAAGCACTAAGATGACAAAAAAGGATTATTTATTTTTTTTTTATCTACACATTTTTATTAGGATACACTTCAAAATTGTGATTGAGGACAGATTACCTGTCCGTACGTAACCTTGGACACGTCATCAACATCATAATCATAAACACTTATCATTATTCATTATCATTATCAATATTATTAACATGATGATACCTTTGAATGCCGATTTTTCTTTATTATCTTTGAATGATAAAGAGTGTTTCAATGATACCACCCAGTGTCATCAAATCAATCTTCCTGTGGATCAATCGAACAGTCTTTTAGCTACTACACAATGCTATGATCGTCTTTATTGGCAAGGTGAGTTAATACAAAACTGATAACAATCACAATTTATGTCAATATATTATTTTCGTTACATTACAAATGTTTACAATATAGTGTAAATAATAATGGCTAGATTGATAGTAAACTGTTTTATAATGCCTTATTTGTTTGTTTGTTAGTTAGTTTGTTTGTTTATTAATAAGATATTACAATATGTCACAATTTTCTTAATCACAATGTCTGTATTATTAAGTTCAAATATCATCAGATATTCTAATCATCTCATGTATTGTTTATCGATCACTTATATAGCAATAGCATTTATCTTATAAAATATCATATATTCAGTCTTATACAGTAATATTAACTGATACCGAGGTTTCGAGCACAAATTATTGCTGCTCATAATCATATCAAGGCACTCACTGACACAACTTATTTGCTTCATTTATATACATGAGAGAAATTGATGATCAGACATTTGAATAAAAATCAATACGTGTTATTGATCAAATACAATCAGATGGGAAATAAGACCAGTGTTTTCATAGTTAAAATAAGTAACTTGTTAGAATGTTATGAGGTACATGAATTGAAATAGAATTTTAATATTATTTATTATCCTCCTCTGATTTGACTGGTGGTAATAATATCTTCCATATTTCTGGTATTTGCATTGAGTCATTTCTGTTGCATGTGTTGGGTGTAGACTCAATGAACCAGGATTCAGTAATCAATCTCTCCCTATCTCCACCTACATAGATTACTTCTTAGAATTTTAACTCTCTCCCACCCATCCTATTGTGTGGTTTTGTGTTAATGCATGCAGTGCAATTGCTGAGTGCTTTTTTCTAAATTACTTATCTTTTTGGGGTCAATCATTCTTAACTTATGTTCCGATAACCTGACTACGCCTGACCTACTAGTTTGACCTACGTAGTTGACCTCACTCACAGTCATTGCAAGGGTCTTTTAGCCTACAGAGCTTGTCCTATCTGAGTGAGTTTGTAGGTTTAAATGCCACCCTAATTCTTGCTTTATTGAGAATCCTACGTAGGGTCTCAGATGTCCTCGTGCGAGCGTCCTAACCGCTATGCCACAGACAGTGGATGCCTTATATTCTCTTTTATTTATATTATCATTATTAGTTTCACCATTCTTTTTATTTTGCTTTTGACCTTTTTTGATCTTCCTAATGAATTTTATAGGATAGTTAGTTATTTAACACCAACGCCTCTTCTATCTGTTTCATTTCATCACATTAAGGTCTTTTGTTGTACTACTTAGTGTTATTGCTCAATTTGTTAGACACTTGGCTAAGCCAGCCTTTACAGACAGACAACGGATTAGATGAATTAAAGTCTAAATATCTATCTATCTATAGTGGAGTTATACTCTACCACAGTGCCCAAGTTTTATACTTATGAGTCGGGTACGTAGGGATTTGGGTAAATTACTCTTTGCCTTGTAGATGACTTTGAAGGCGGAGGCTATAGAGATAGGGTGATCATTATCGACCAGATGTTCAATGATCGCGCTTCTTATTGCTCCACTACCACCTTTTCGTAATCATTTATTCAGCTTAGACTGACTGAGTTTCAACATAGAACTTTGCACAGAAGTGCACCAGTTCAATTTTCAAAACAACATGTAGCCCTTAAGGTGGGAAAAAGGATTCAAAAGGACTATAATAACCAGGAAATTGAGAGGGAAAGAATAGTGACATGAAAGGAATAAGGTTTAATAGATATGGGAGATTTAAAAGAGAGAATATATCTGTGCCGGTTAGAATGATTTTGAGTCATATCTACAGTAGTAGTCTCCAAGTATTGGTCCTCTGTGACTGGAGGACCCCATCCAGGTAGCTTCAGCCCGGGCTACTTACTTCGTACTGACAAGGAATCCTAAACAAAGAGAAAACAGCTGTCCATTACTCCAGTGCTGGTTTTCAATGGTTTCCTAACCAATATTATTTTCCTTCACGTTCCCCAGTGGAACATAGGACTTCAACCTAGTGGCTTGAAGTTTCTGTAGCAGTGTTTATTTTACAGGATGAGGTTGCTAGCCTCATGCCCAACCTTTCCTCTATACCAGCTTTTATTTCTGGCTTAGCGAGATAAAGGAGTGCGTCGGCCGGGGATCGAACCCCTGACCATGTGCATCGTCGGCGAGCGTCCTAACCGCTATGCCGCTGACGCACTAACTAATAATTAATAAAGCTTTATTTCAGATAATACGTGAACACGTATTACAGAAATTTTCAGTGTATTTAGTTCCAAAACATTTCCTCCTCTTACAGGATTAACATGTAAAGTAATAATCTGAAGTATATCATGTGACGTAGTGTTGTTCCATATGAAGAAGGAACCAATTCTGCATATTTTTCTCTTCATTACCTCCATGAATTGCATTGCGTTTTGTTGGAGGCTAATTGAATATGCTCTCGAGTTCATGTAGTGATCATCTGATATTACTGAATGACTTAATCAATAAGAAATGCTGAAGAGTTTAGGCATTTTGATGGATGGATATTTTGGTAGCCCATTGTTTTACTCAGACCGCCTTTCTAATTAAACTTGAATTCACTCATATCCCTGGAAATCACTGTCATGCCCCCCCCCCCCCCTATGAACTCTAACCAAACCTTTCTAAAACTAATTTATGTACGTGGGTCCCAGTGGCTTAATGGTATACAAGCTCGCCTTATAACCAGAAGGTCCTGGGTTCGAACCCCAGTGGGTACGTACTGCTGAAGAGTCCCAAACTGGGACGAAACAGCTGTCCAGTACTCCCAGGTTTTATAGTCTCAGTGGCTGAATGGTCTACGAGCTCGCTAGCCTTAGTGCATCGGTGGCATAGCGGTTAGGACACTCGCCGACCATGCATATGGTCCGGGGTTCGATCCCCGGACCGACGCACTCCTTTACTTCTCTAAGCCAAAAATAATGCTGGTGAAGAGGAAAGGTTGGACATGAGACTAGCAACCCCATCCTGTAAAATAAACACTGCTACAGAAACTTCAAGCCACTAGCTTGAAGCCCACTGGGAACGTGAAGGAAAAAAAAGACGTTTCTAAAACTAATTTATGTACGTGTATTAGACTTTTCTAGGAACTGAATTTATTTATCATTAGCAAATATTTATCAATGTGTTTAAGTGAACATTGGTTTTTGACTTTTTTTGATAGCCATTGTATGATTGAACACCGTTCGTTTTGGTTCACATCGCTTAAAAAGTCAGCTTTGCTATTTAGGCTATATATACCAAGTCTTCACTTGTACCTTTTTGATATTACTTTGTCAATATTTTTCATCGGACCCAGGTTTTAGTACATTAGAGATCGTTAAGACACAGTTGGATTCTAGAATAGAGATTACAGTCAGATTCTAGTACACAACACTATCACCTGAGAACTGGACTAATGAATAATATAATAAATACATTTACACACAAATGATATGGCGGCTCCTCTACTACGGTCATTTCAACGATAACTTGAGGTAGACTAAATGTAATTCAGCTGACGGTGACTAGTAGTGGATTCCAGCATGTATGTTTCGTCCTTAACATGACTCATCATCAGCATGTGTCTTATTCTCAGTGTGTGTGATGATTACCCCCTTTGAAGTCTAATCCAGCACCTACAAGAGGCCACTATCAAGTGATTAATATATGTCAAAGTCACGTTTGAACTAATGGTGTTGAGTTACACACAGATTGTGCTTATTGACTTTATATGTTAAAGTTAATTAACTGCTTCTTGTATGTGTAGTTGCCTTTTTTTCAAGTATTGTTACAATCCTAACCGAACGAATTGAGGAATATTGATCAGGATCATCATAATGATAAGAGTATGACTGTAGTATATGAAACGCATGGTTTTAGTACTGTTTTATGGTTATACTGTATAGAAGTAATATAGCTAGTTATGGTGAACAGAATAGAATAACTGTAAATACCTGAAATTTGCTTGTTTTTGAACAAAATGCCAAACTGACTGATTAGGTTACTTACCGAATGAAAATCTCATCTAATGTTAGAAGTCACAGTTCATTGACCAAGAGGCAGGCTGAATGGCCAGTGAGCTTAGTCTCGTAACCTGAAGGTCCAGAGTTCAATCCTTGGGGGGGATATGCGTGCGAACTGCTGAGGAGTCCAGAAAAAATAGGAGGAAACAGCTGTTCAGTCCTGCCTGGTTTACAGTGATCTCTCAAACTGATGTTGATACGTGACGAAAATCTAACAATTGAAAATTTCGTCTAAGATGTTCAGAGATCGACAACAGCTGAATGGAGATAGATATTCAACAAATTCGTATATTTAATGTCAAATATTTTTTATTCCTTATTTATTTTTTTCCGAGTTAGACCACGAACTGATATCAGTTAGAGAACCACTGGAAACCAAGGAGTAGTGGACAGATGTTTCGTCCTAGTTGGGGACTCATCGGCAGTACGTACACACTAAGTTTCGAACCCAGGACCTTCAGGTTACAAGGCAAGCTCGTGTACCATTCAGCCACTGGGAGTTTTCTGGAGTTCTAGTAAGAAGTCGTGAACACTGAGGACCATCCAGTCAAATATGAGGATGGATGTCCGACCATTGATATTGGTTGGTGATGGCAATAAATCAGGAATTCGTAGAAGTTAGAATTCATGGGCTAACCATTGAATCGGGTCCCAGTGGCTGAATTGTATACGAGCTTGCCTTGTAACCGGAGGGTCCTGGGTTCGAACCCCAGTGGTATGGGTGCGTAGTACCGATGATTCCCAAACCAGGATGAGACATCTGGCTATCCAGTATTCCGGTGCTGGTTTTCAATGGATCACTAATTGATATCAATCCGTGGTCAAACTCGAAAAACAAATTGAATCCTTACAAATCAACTCTTGAGGAATTTATTTTTTTACCTACTTTTTTGCTATTCTTGTCATTCTTGTTTGTAAGTACAGCAAATTCAGATGAAGCATCGAATCAGACTAGTCTGTATTTTTTAATGACAAAGCTATCTTGTTTGGAAGACTCAACTAAAATAAAATCACTGTCAGACTAAGCAAATCACTAGTGCGTGATTTTATTATATGCAGGAAAGTACCAATTTCGTGATTCATGGCCTGTTTTAACAAATATTCACTGTCGGTATAACTGGTACCATGCCCCAAATAGCACCATAAATCTTTTCGTCTTATGTGTAATTCAATCCATACCACTGAAAAATCTTCTGAATAACTCGCCAACTGGTTTCGTGGTTTCATGACAAAATTCACCTTTAAAGTAATTAAACTGTCACAAATCTTGAATCCATTTATCAATTTGCCTCTCACCAGTGACTAATTTTAAGTTGGATTCCCCGAAATCCTGACAGGAAGTTATGAGCTATCATGTCCACCACCAAGTCCAGTATAGTGTCATTTATTTATCGGTTGCATAAGAAAGAGACTGAGGTATGTAACTAATTGGTGGAAATAGGATCCACAGAAAGTTTCTGAGTATTGGTTCTCATGAGATCATATTAGTCTAAAAAATTCTCTTCACTTCTCCTTAGTTTTCAATGGTTTTCTGAAAGATATCAGTTCGTGATGAAATCAACCAATTTCATGGCAGTTAATAACTTTCATTCCTACGTTCTCATCAGTTAAGAGGGCTAGTTTCTTATACACCAGTTTGCGCCGTCTCTGGCATAGACGTGATATCCGACTATCGACCAAAGGGCATGTGTACTGCTCAGCAGTCCCCTCCGTCCTCCTTTATGGCTGTGAAACCTGGCCATTGAGAACGGAAGACATGAAAAGATTAGCTGTCTTTGATCATAGGTGTCTGCATTCTATCTCCCGCGTGAAGTGGTATAATAAGGTGAGCAATATTGAGGTTAGACATCTGTCGAGTGATAGGTAAGGCGGGGAAGCCAGTCGACGAGACTGTGAAATTACATCAACTGAGATAGTTAGGACATGTGTTACGCACGCATGTCTAGTCATCGCCTTCCTCGACAATGGGCAATGTTAGCTGATATAGGGTCAGGCTGGAAAAGAGCTAGCGGCGGTCAAACTAAAACATGGCACCAGTCATTGAAATCCACAACAGTTAGTCTAGGCCACGTAGGAAGGTGTAGACTTCCTGACTGGTTGGGGTCCTCGGGACGGTAAAAAACAGTGGTTGGAAACGATTGGTGACATGGCTCAAAATCGTTCTCAATGGCTGGTGTAGATGCATCCACTCCTTGTGATTTGTGATTTCCAATTAAACTGTTTTGTTCTTCGTTATTACTATTCTTTTGTCTCACACATCTGTTTACTGTCTATATTATGCATTTCTCCTACTTTCTTCTCTTGCTTTGTGTGCTATATGGAGTGTAGTGACTCGAACTGCTGCACACTGGTGCAAAGTTCTATGTCGAAAACCGACCGACCGACCGAGTTCAGAGCTTTCCTCTGTTTCACTCAAAGTCTTAACGCTTACTGACCTTTTTTACATTTTTAAAGTTGTATTTTGTCTGAAAACCCTGGTAAATGGAGGTAAAGGAAAATTAATTTCATCAGTGTGGCATATGACAGTCCTTTTTAAAGTTCTGACCTAATTTATTCAGCGAGCCGGAGTGTCATCCCTCTAAGCACGCCAGTGCGATAAAAGGAGAACTATCAATAATTTTAGTGTAAACGTGTTGTGATTTATCATTTGCAGTAAATGTAAATGAATCTTACTGAAAATGTATTTACCTCACCTTAGTTTCTAAACAATTTTGAAAAATTATTATTCTTTCTTCTTTAGGTCAATTACAACTTGCATTGCTCATTAGAGATCGTTGTGTACGTATACAAGGTGAGTTGGTTCCCTGTTATATATGTATATATAAAAATGATCGATCCGATTTTTATATTTATCTCTGGTAAACGAAAAATTGCACTTTCATTCCATTCAGTATTGTGTATAAGTACATTTAACTGGGTTAGGCAGAAGACGTCTAAGCGCTTAGACAACAGCTTTGATTACAGACATGTATTTAGGGATAGTAGAGTGAGTGCTAGAAGTGTCACAGGCGAGATCTCTAACCGTATACTGGAAAATAGGGTGGAATACACCAATTTAAGCTATTTCTCGCACCGTCGCGACGTCAGCCTGGCAATCAAAGGTTGGGTTTACAGGGCTTCGGTGAGCTCAGTCTTGCTCTACGCCTGCGCAATCTGACGTCTTTGAGCTGAGGATATGCGTCGACTCTGTGTATTCGACCATGATGCCTCCGTAGAATTGTTTGCGCCCGATGGCATCATCGTGTGGGTAATTCTGAGGTCCGGAAGCGTGTGTTTGGACGCAGTAGAGGTCACCATTCATTGGATGTGGTCATCTTGAAACATATGCCTCGACTGACCGGACATGTATTACAAATATCATTGCAGAGGCTCCCGTTCCGGTCGCCGTTCACTAGCTTTCAGACTGAATGCAAAATCGGAGAGGTAGTCAGCTTATGACATGTAGTCTTGGGATGAAAGATATTTCGGCTAGGTTAGTATCAGTTGGTACATCACAACTCCCTGTTGCGGTCCGAGAGATAGTTCAAATCGCTGGCTTGAAACCTTGTCAAATATCAACAAGAATTGCAGTCAGTGGTGCAGTTTCTGCAGTTCACCTCTTTCTTCCCTTTCCGAATGCTGAATGCTCTGAACATGTATGCCTACTTGCTTGCTTTCCATGATGTCCCTCACTCATTCATTCTGCCCCCTCGTTTATTAACATATTATTGTTTTATTATTTTTGTATGGCTCCTCTCCTGGTGCCCAATTTCACAAAGTTTGTGTTTTAAATAATTATAGACTGAAAGGCTTCTATATGCCGTGATGTTTCCATATTACAGTCGGGGGTAGATTCAGGAATAGTAGTATTAATAGGCTATTTACCTTCAAGATATACATGTGTGTGTGGTTAGTCAGGTTACGTTAGTATGAAATGAAGCTTTAGCTTCTTCATTACGCATTGTCATATCGCGTTTACGTGGAGGATTTCATCATGAGCTGACATCAGTTAAAGAACCACTGGAAAACCTGCAGGGAGTACTGGACAGCTTTTCGCCCTAGTTTGGGACTCTTCATCAGTACGCACCCACCGGGATTCGAACCCAGGACTTTCTGGTTACAAGGCGAGCTCGTACTGCGTACCGCCAAAGAGTCCCAAACTAGGACGAAACAGCTGTCCAGTACTCCCAGTTGGTTTTCCAGTGGTTCTCTAACTGATGTCAGCTCATGATGAAATACTCCACGCAGTCAAACAAAATCCCTACAAAACCAATACTTGAAAATATCACGTTTAATCATATATGAATTAAAGCATATAAGGACTTAATCCCTTTAACACAAAGCCATTACATATGATACAATTAACTCTTGAACAACAGTTGACAAGGGAAATTGTTTTTAATTTCGTTGATTTCCTCTCAAATACTAAAAATGCTGAAAATTCCATTCTGTATCACAAGTCTGTTTTTGGAATAAAGTAAATTATTATTATTATTAAAATTCATGAAATATTTCATACTAAACTAAATCAACACTAAGTCTACCAGTTTGGGTGTGTGAACAAATATTCACCGATGATACTGGCTGGCGGTCACGCTAGAAATATATCACGAATTTGGCCATCAGATTCCATCCCAGTGGCTAAAATGGTCAAGGAACTTGCTTCATAGCCAGAAGTTCTCGAGTTCTAGTCTGATGTATGGAATAATGGGTGCGTACTCTCGAAGAGGAGTGCTAAGCAAGGACGAAACAGCTGTTTAGACCACCCCCATGGTTTTCGATGGTTTGTTTAAATGAAGTCAATTTGTGATTGATCTTCAAATCAACATAGATGAATGAAAATGGTGATTTTGTCTCAACAATACAATTTATCATTCTAAATTCTACAGATGTTTCATTTGATTCTGAAAAGAAGATTGTCTATAGGGTAGAAAACACTCAACTTTCTAATCTGTTCGAATAAAAAAATATTGTAAAGAAAAACAACCTTCCACAGTGATGAATACAATCCAGTCGTGTAAGGTAGAAGACGTATAGTATATTCCAGGGGTCAAATATAATCAATCGTTTTGAATGTCGATCATTTTCAACAAAAAAATAATAATAAAAGTTAAATATTCTCTCTCCCCGTATGACAAAGAAAACACCTGTCACATTTAAGATGATTCATCCACTGGTAAATGAACAGACAATTAATTCTGTGAATATCATCAATCATCGGATTGTTTATTAGTGAATATTCTTCAGATTGGTATTTATTCTATTTTGTAAATCATTTAAACACAGTCAAGTCTGAGTGAATGACACGGAGGAAGAGCGAGAGAAAGAGAGAGAGAGAGAGTGGGAGAAAGTTGAGGGAGGATGATCGATGGATTTGATAACAAATACAGACAAAATCATAATAGATCCAGGTCAATTAATCTCTCTTTTTCAGCATATTTTAAATTCTCATTTTGCTCCACATATATATACAAAATCACTATTTTCATTCATCTATGTTGACGACAATGGAAAGTCAATCACCAAAGAGGTGGAACAGAGGAAGCACTGGGCTGAACACTTCAAAAGACTTCTAAATCGTCCGCCACCTACAACGCGTCCAACAATACCAACAACGGAAGCAGAACTACCAATGAACATCGACCCTCCGACGAAATCCGAAGTCCTGAATGCCATCAAGATGCTAAAAGCTGGGAAAGCGCCAGGACCAGATGGAATCCCAGCAGAAGCTTTGAAAATAGACCCAGAGACAACAGCGGACTTGATGACGCCACTACTAGAGAAGGTGTGGAAAGAGGGCAAAGTACCCGAGGATTGGAAGAACGGATACTTATTCAAACTGCCAAAGAAAGGAGATTTGAGTCAATGTAAAAACTGGCGTGGAATTATGCTCCTGTCCATTCCAAGCAAGATACTATGTCGCATCATCCTGGAGAGAATTAAACAAGCCCTAGATGAAAAACTTCGACCGGAACAGGCCGGATTCAGGAGGAACAAGTCATGCATTGACCAAATCGCCACCCTACGGATTATCATTGGACAAAGTTTGGAATGGCAGTCACCTCTCTATCTCAACTTCATCGATTTTGAGAAAGCCTTCGACAGCGTCGATCGAGAGGTGATTTGGAAACTACTTCGCTACTACGGGGTGCCGCCGACAATTATACATCTCATCCAACAGCTGTATGACAACGCTGCATGCCAAGTAATCCACAACGGGAGGCTCACGGAATCCTTCGAAGTGAGGACGGGAGTGAGACAAGGCTGTCTACTGTCACCAATGATCTTCCTGATTGCAGTTGATTGGATAATGCGACACACAGCGGGCAATGGGGAAACAGGCATAAAATGGACTCACACAAAAAAGAATTGGAGGATCTGGACTTCGCCGATGATATATGTCTGATTTCCCACAAACTGGAAGATATGCAAGTGAAAAGCAACAAATTGGCAGAAGAAGCATCCAGAGAAGATAAGACTTCAGGTGAACATAGAGAAAACAGAGGTAATGAAGATTCCTAGGCAACACCACCAACAGCAACAACAACAACAGACAACGATCAGCATAAATGGAAGGAACCTGAAAGAAACCACCTCTTTTACCTATCTGGGAAGCATCGTTTCAACTACAGGCGGAATTGACGAGGATATCAAAGCAAGAATCGGAAAAGCAAGACAAGCTTTCACTACTCTCAATTCTGTGTGGAGGTCAACAGCATTCAGCGTCAAAAATAAGATCCGTATTTTCAACTCCAATGTGAAGTCAGTACTACTATACGGATCAGAGACTTGGCGTGTCACAAAGAGCAGCTCAAACAAGCTACAGACCTTCATTAACAAATGCCTTCGCTCAATACTCAAGATCAAATGGCCGGAGAGGATCAGCAACAAAGATCTCTGGGAGCGAACCAACCAGGAACCGATCGTGAAACAAATAGGCAGGAAGAAATGGAGATGGATTGGACACACTCTGAGGAAACCAGCAAGTGACATCACTAGACAAGCCATTGCTCCAGTGGAACCCGAAAGGGAAGCGACGAGTTGGTCGTCCAAGGGTGACCTGGAGGAGATCATGTGAAGAGGAATTGAAAGCGTGTGGGCAGACTTGGAGCCAGGTGAAAACTACAGCAGAGAACCGAACGCAATGGAGACGCATGGCTGAAGCCCTATGTTCCTCTAGGAATTAAAGGAAATAATAATAATGTTGATTTGAAGATCAATCACAAATTGACTTCATTTAAACAAACCATCGAAAACCATGGGGGTGGTCTAAACAGCTGTTTCATCCTTGCTTAGCACTCCTCTTCGAGAGTACGCACCCATTATTCCATACATCAGACTAGAACTCGAGAACTTCTGGCTATGAAGCAAGTTCCTTGACCATTTTAGCCACTGGGATGGAATCTGATGGCCAAATTCATGATATATCTAGCGTGACCGCCAGCCAGTATGATCGGTGAATATTTGTTCACACACCCAAACTGGTAGACTTAGTGTTGATTTAGTTTAGTATGAAATATTTCATGAAAATTTTGAGTATTTGAGAGGAAATCAACGAAATTTAAAAAAAATTTCCCTTGTCAACTGTTGTTCAAGAGTTCAAGAGAGTATCATATGTAATGGCTTTGTGTTAAAGGGATTAAGTCCTTATATGCTTTAATTCATATATGATTAAACGTGATATTTTCAAGTATTGGTTTTGTAGGGATTTTGTTTGACTGCGTGGAGGATTTCATCATGAGCTGACATCAGTTAGAGAACTACTGGAAAACCTGGGAGTACTGGACAGCTGTTTCGTCCTAGTTTGGGACT